GAAACAAAGACAAAGTTAAAAATTCACAGGGTCAGGAAGATGGTAATGACAACTTTTATCAGTGGCAAACCCAAGGTAAACACAGGCATGGTAACCATAGTAACAGGTCATAAAATTACAGTAAAAACAGGAATTCAATCACCAGTAAATTCAACACTAAACCCACATAATGTGCTTAACCTGAGGTTATCACTTATTTCAGAAGAAAGAATGCAAAGCATTGTATTGGTAACACTTTACAATAAGGTTCATTAGTTAAACATTAGTTAATGTATAAACTAACATGAACTAACCATGAGCAATACATTTGTTACTGTATTTACTAATCTTCACTAACGTTAGTTAATAAAAATACAGATGTTCATTGTTAGTTCATGTTAGTTCACAGTGCATTAACTAATGTTAACAAGATTTTAATAATGTATTAGTAAATGTTGAAATTAACATTAACAAAGATTAATAAACGCTGTATACGTGCAGTTCATTATTAGTTCATGTTAACTAATGAACCTAATTGTAAAGTGTTACCATTGTATTTACTAATCTGGTATCTCCTGCTTTGGAGATGCATTAACAAAACCTGAATTCAGCACGAGTCGAAAAGTTGAGCATCATTTGCTTCAATAGTAGCAAGAAAGTCTGCACAAAGTCACATGATCAATGTTACTCAGTTACATGCATTTAGAAATTTCTCGCAATCTGAAATATTTCATCTACATTTCATAATATTATGCAATTCATTATTTTACTGTTTTCCCATTTATTTACAGGTTTAAATGTTTATATCTCTTAAAAACAATGTCTTATAAAATATTTTAAACAATTAAATGTTGTGTATGTTCATACTTTCCTTTTATTGACAGGTTTAAATGTTTATATCTTTTAAAAAATATATTTAAAAAAAAACTTTTTTAGAGTTTCATTTTATTCAAGTTTAAGTTGAAATGTTTATATCTCTTAAAAACGGTTTATAAAAAATATATATAAAAAATAAATGTGCATTTTCATAGTTTCCTTTTATTCAAAGGTTTAAATGTTTCTATCTTTCTTAAAAAAATATTTAAAAAAATCCCCCCCAAAAAAATTGTGATGGTTTAATGAACTTACTAGATTTTTCACTATAGTCTATTGTCACTATAGTCTATATTTCAGCAACATTAGTGCAAAACTAAGAAATTAGGAACAATACTAAAATATATACCAAGCTATTTGACAAATCCTCACCGCCCTTGAAGAATCCCCCATCCATGAACTCTTTCACTCCCATCTCTTCAGGTCCGATGCCGATCAGAGCGACACCGTTTGCTTTCAGGTCCTTCTCCAGTTTACTGACCTCCGCTGACATCCACCGACACACCTGACAACCAAACCTCCGCAAGAAGAAGAGAACAACCGTCTGCTCCTGCCACAGAGAACCAATCTCCACCATCTAAGACACAAAACATGAGACAAACAGAACGAATGTCGACAAGATATATTAAAAAAGGGAAGGGCTTCCATGTTTCTTTCATTATTTACAGCTCATGGATGAAACTTTATTTACTTTATTTTGGGAAGTTGATATTATACATGAAGCTTCATTTAAGTCAAGTCATTTAAAACTCATTTTCTAATTCTTTTAAAAACTGTTATACATAATTGGTAGTCTCATAATTAAGAGACAACATATTTGTCACTTTCATATAGAACACAAAGAAAACTTGTGAGTCAGAAAAAAAATTAATGCCCATGGACATTATTTGTTCATGGTTATATGATTTTGCCTTATGTGAAATATACCTTCCAAAAAAATACATATATATATATATATATATGTATATATAAATATCACTTAGAAGGCAAATCTATTACATACATAATGTTTAATATTATTAATTACATTTCAATATATTTAATATTAATTTAATAATATTCAATGTGTTTAAAGGGGTCATATGATGCGATTTCAAGTTTTCCTTTGTTGTGTACTGAAAACACATACTAGCTTCATCACTGTGTCTGTCACGCGACTCTGTTCCCCTTTCGGGCTCTGTCTTCACATTTATTTTGAGAGATGAAGCTCGCGATTATGGTAAGGGGCGTTACATTTCCGACGAGTGCTTGCGGTGTTCGGCCAATCACAATGCACTGGTCAGCTGGCCAATCAGAGCAGACTGCGCTTGTCGGAAGGAGGGACTTTGTAGAAAACGAAGCGTTTGAGAGAGGCGGGGCATAGAGGACCTACAATAATGTACAGTATTTGAAAAAGAATGTGTTTTTTGAACATTAAAGCATGTCAACATATTCTGTTACACCAAATAATGATCTTTAAAAAAAGCATCATATGACCCCTTTAATATTTTACAATAGATTTTTAAAATATTTTATAACACTACAGTACAGGTACCTAAAATGCACCCAATTAGAACAAGAAAACCCTAAAAGATACCCACTTCTGCTTAGGTTTGAAGTGTTGTTTACATTATAAAGACTTGTAATGTGTTTTCATTGCATTTGACACCTGCAAGCAGCAAAAGAGTTCACATTCACACCTGGAGTGACAATGTGTTTATATCACATCAAGACTGAGAGCACACTGATCCCGGGGGTCTTCACTTTACAAACATCAATTACATCTTAACAGGAGCAGTGTGAGAAGAGCTCATGCATTCAAGAGGAAAAACAGCATTGCTTTTGTTTACAAAGTCATGCGAAACATCAGAACAGGAAGTGTTTTATTTTTCATGAAAATACCTTAAAATAGTCATTTAAATGACTTGAATAGAAGGTAATATGTCTTATTTTCAAGAACAAGGTTTCTTTTTGTACTATTTAAGTTTAGGAATTGATTCATTCATTGGCAGTTTGCATATGTCGTCTCGTACTTAAGAGAAACATTTCATGTGAATTATTACCTCTCCAGACGTGGTGTTTTTCAGTTGGTTGGCTCCTAGGCTGGTCAGATTCACGGATGACATTTTCTTAGAGTCTATTTTTTGCCCTTAGGTGTGAAACTCGTCCTTGTTTCCTTCAGCGGTTTGTGCACTTTACACAAGAACACAAACGCGCCGCTGTTATATACACACGCCCACTTGTGTAAGACATGAGGTGAGCGACAGACGTATCGACCAATCACAGCGTGAGGAATTCAAACCATGCGCTCGAGGGGCGGGGCATATTACATAAATATGACAGTGGCAACTCTGTGTCATTATTTGTGCAACAATACATCTTATCTTAAGTTAACACCCCGAATATATTTTCCCCGTGCAAACTCAATATTAAATATTTTATATTATATTTTTTGAGCCCAAGATTAGGTTTAACATATTCTATAAGATAATTCTAGGGTGTGGTTTATCTGCACATCAAAGGTCAGTCACTTCAGTCTGTCTGTCTGCCATTTGAACGTTGTAATGATTTACATTCAATAATCAATACAGACCATGAGGAGAGAGAGAGATACTATACACTACATCAGTGTGTATAGTAAATCATTGACTTCAGAATGGTGTTAGTTTGCAAGTACTTTCCACATAAAATAAAAGTGATTAAAATGTAAATAAAAATACAATAAAATACAAATAAAATAACTATTATTACAAAATTAGGCACTTTATCTAACCAAGAGATGTTTTGTTTGTTTGTTTGTTTGAGTAAGAAAAGCAAAGTATCCAATCAGTTTACAAAAAACAATAAGAGATCAAATAAATCCAGTAATGTCGAATATGAAGAGTTTAATCACTTATTTATTAATTGCGCAAACAGTATGCACCTTTCAACACATACACACATGTATATGATATTTTGTATTTTTAATTTAAACATAATTTACATTACATTTAGTCATTTAGCAGATGCTTTTATCCAAAGCGACTTACAAATGAGGACAATAAAAGCAGTCAAAACTAACAAAAGAGCAACAATATATGAGTGCAAATGACAAGTCTTGATTAGCCTTACGCAGTACACGTAGCAAGGTGTATATATATATATATATATATATATATATATATATATATATATATTATACACACACATATACACACTCACACACAAAGAAAAACAACTAGATAGAATAGAAGAATAGAAAAAGCTAGTGTTTGTTTGTTTGTTTTTTTAAATAAAAAAGAAGATAAATATAGATAAAGTAGAATTAAAATAGAATAGAAAGTGCTAGAGTTAGAGGGTCAAATAAAGGTATCAACCATAATATCAATGAATGGAATATCACATTCCCAGCTAACAGAGCACTTTGGCTAACTTTCTGGCAAAAAAAAAAAAAAAGTACAAACGTTCATAACAAAAGTTAACAAAAAGTTACCTTCAAAAATAATGTTTTCATAACTTAATGGGAATGTTAGCAAAACGTTCTTAGAACATACATACTAAAAATGCTGGGTTGTTTCAACACTACTTTGGGTCAAATATGGACTAAAACCCAGCTGTTAAGTTAATCTATACACTCTAAAAAATGCTGGGTTAAAAAGGGACAAACCCAGCTATTGGGTTGTTTTGACCCAGCGGTTGGGTTGTTTTGACCCAGCTATTGGGCTGTTTTGACCCAGCGGTTGGGTTGTTTTGACTCAGCTATTGGGCTGTTTTGACCCAGCGGTTGGGTTGTTTTGACTCAGCTATTGGGCTGTTTTGACCCAGCGGTTGGGTTGTTTTGACCCAGCTATTGGGCTGTTTTGACCCAGCGGTTGGGTTCAAAACAACCCAATAGCTGGGTTTGTCCCTTTTTAACCCAGCACTGGGTTATATTTAACCCAGCATTTTTTAGAGTGTATAGACTAACCTAACAGCTTATTTGACCCAAAGTTGTGTTGAAACAACCCAGCATTTTTTAGAATGTGTTTTTGTTATTCGGGTTATAACTATGACAAAAGTGAAAATGATAAATAATTAATTCAGGATGACATCTTGAAGGTCCACAGGGCTTTTTAAGACAGGTGTCAGTTTTCAGCTGATGCTGATGCTGCAGTTTGGCGCGGGGGGCGATGCTGTGACGTCACGGGGGAGAGCCGATGGACTGGAGGAGGAGAGATGCGAGAACAGGGGATGACCGGAGGAGCACGATAAAAGCTGAGAAATGACTGCGCCAGAACGCACGAAAAAACATGAAACCTTAAACAGCAGCGTCAACATGATGAGTCCTTCCGTCTGCTGTTCGCAAACCAGTAATGCATGAAGAGCATCGCGGATAAAGGTAATATTTCTGCTTCCATCCGCACGCCTCTCACAAAGAACACATGAGTGGAGTCGATTGTATAATTTTTAGCTTGAAAGCCAATGATTAGGGTGATTATTACACCGCTGAAGTGCGGCCGGCGTGGTCAAACTGAAAATAAACACGTCTTGCTCTTCATGCAAGCATCCTTTTCATCCATAATTAAATATTTTTTTATAAATCAACCATTATGTGCGCTTCTTATTCTTGCTTAATAGACACAATCTCGTGTATTTCTCAGAAGTGTGCAGGAACGAGTCTGCAGTTATGCGTTTTGCTTCCTCAGCTATGGAGAGACAGACCACATGTGCAATGCGCATCTTGTCAGTGGAGCTGCGCATTGGTTGCAGTACGTCGTGTGCACGAGGAAAGAAGAAGTGTCATATCACTGACCTCCTTGAAGCAATGGCGCTTCAGCACGATACATTGCTGCATACAATTTGATGTATAAAACGACTAATGTGAAGCTTTTCACAATGGCTTTAAGCAATTGTGTTGTTTTGCTCTCCTATCTCAATGTCACCATGACCTACACTCTTAAAAATAAAGGTTCTTTATTGGCATTGACGGTTCCATAAGGGACCTTTAACATCCATGAAATCTTTCCAGGTTCTTTATTTCAGAAAAATGTTCTTTAGATTAGTAAAATGTTCTCTGAACTTTGGCTAATGTTCTGACAAGGTACTCTCAAAGTTATGAACAAACATTCTTCCAGTAATGCTAATAGAACGTTTGTTCAGAATGACCTAGTCTTTCAAAAATGTTTTCACAAAAATATTATTTAAACATCATTCATGGAACTTTTTTTTTTTTTCCTAAAACGATTTAGCTGGATGTTCATCGGACATTATTTGAATGTTACTACTTTTTGAGAACATTCCCATAATGTTTGCAAAATAATAAAACTGGAATGTTCCCTTAACGTTTGTATAACCAAGAAAAGAAAATGTTTTTAAAACATTAAAAAAATTGATGTTTTGAACGTTCAAAGAACATTCAATAGTAATGTTCTCATGATGTTTGCAAAATGATAAAAATGAATGTTTCCTTAATGGTCACATAACCAAGAAAAAACTTTTTAAAATATTAGAAAAAAACTGGATGTTTTGAATGTTTAGAGAACATTCAATAGTAACATTCCCATAATGTTAGCAAAATCATAAAATCGAATGTCCCTTAATGTTTGCATAACGTTAAAACGTTTAAAAAACTGGACATTTTGAATCATTCAGAAATAACGTTTTCATAACTTAATGGGAACCGTTAGCAAAACGTTCTTAGAAGATATTTTTGTTAGCTGGGTTCACAATAAGAAAAAAAATTATATTTTTAAGAACTGTTTACTGAAAAGTTCTTTGGGGAATCAAAATGGTTCTTCTAGGGCTTCACTTATTAGTGAACCCTGGTGTACTCATACTATAGGCACAGTTGCCTTGAACCGAGCCCGAGCACGATTATCCCCCCTCCTCACTCCCCCTCTGGCCTGCACTCACACTAAACAATCCGGGCCGGAGCATGCTTATGTCATGTACGAGATAACACGGAGAAAACCACTTTCGCTAATAATTTGCATTCGCTAATGCAGCGATTTTCACTTGAAAAGTGAAGTGAAAGTGACATGTGGCCAAGTATGGTGACCCATACTCAGAATTAGTGCTCTGCATTTAACCCATCCAAAGTGCACACACACACCATGAACACACATGCCGTTGGGGCAAGAAACGACAAGTAGTAGAACCCCCGAGCAGATGGGGGTTCGGTGCCTTGCTCAGTTGTGGTAATGAAGGTGAAAGAGAGCGCTGTACATTCACTCCCCACACCTACAATCCCTGCCGGTATGAGACTCGAACCCACAACCTTTGGGTTACGAGTCCAACTCTCTAACCATTAGGCCACGAATTCCCTTGCATGTATCAGAGGATTAATATGGAGGCAGCTGACGTTAATATACGAATTTGCAAGTTCATCAATACAATTCCTGTTCATCAATAAGGTGACAACCAGACCCGTTTTAAACCTAAATATACTTGATTTAATTAAATTAATTGAAAAGTGTACTTTAGTAGTAGCAATAGAAGATGTTTGCGCTCGTAATGATGACAGTAGTGCACACAAAATAGTAGCTGTTCCGCGCTCCGGTGTTGTAAGTGATCACACTACATCCGTACTGTGCCCGAGCCCAACTGAACCGTGCTCTGGCCCACATCTTCCAAGCAAGCCAGGGACGGCTAAACGAACCGTACGGAGCGATCACACTAGTCAAACGAACCGGTTCAGATCACCTAATGTGAGTACACCCTTAGAGTGCTTTGTGCAGATGACACTGTGCTGGAGCAGGGATAGATTGCTTTTTCTTGTTTTTTGAAATGTGCATCAATCTTTTTTTCCCTCCTTTTAGTGTGAGCAGAATGTCATCTCCTGGAATGGGCACCCCGAGCGACCCCCTGTTGTCCAGTCCCGTAGGGGGGAAGTTTGGGATTGCCCAGGAAGACACCTGGAGACCCACTCTGTCCAAAACATCCAGTTTCCCGTCGTCCACCACACGGCACCTCAGTCATAGAGCCAACAACTTCCAGAGGCACCCGAAGCGACGGAAACTGATCCGGCCGTCTCCGCCACCACCGCCGAACACGCCGTGTCCCCTGGAACAGCTTGACCTGAGCGAACTTCCTCCGAGACGCACTTGTCCCGAGCTTCTCTTCAATGGCTGCGTTTTGTTTGGGATCGAGTTCAGCTACGCAATGGAAACGGCGTATGTCACACCTATGTTACTTCAGATGGGGTTGCCCGACCAGTTCTACAGTCTAGTGTGGTTCATCAGTCCAATTTTAGGTAAGTAGATCTTAAAGGATTCATTCAAACAGTTCCTCGTGTGGTTCCAACAAAAGTAGGTAACCCAAATCCAGTCCAGTCATGATTATGACATTATTTAAATGTTACAAAAACATTCCTTACAACGCTCTACTCACTTTATTTTCGCACAAGATATAACGTTATTTAAATGTTTATTTTGAATATTCTAAGAATGTTGAAATGTTCAGTTTTCTTGTGGTGATTCTATCATTATTTAAAGGTTATTAAAACATTTCTTACAAAATTCTACTACCTTTATTTTCCCCCAAGGTATAACGTTATTTGAACGTTTATTTTTAATATACTAAGAACGTTAAAATGCCCAGTTTTCTTGTTGTGGTTAACGTTAATTAAAGATTACTAAAACGTTTCATACAATGTTCTGGTAACTTTATTTTCACCCAAAATATTATGTAATTTGAACGTTTATTTTTAGTATTCCAAGAACGTTTTCTCTCAACGTTAAAAGGACATTCATCAAGTAAAAATAACATGAGAACGTTCAAAGAATGTTGTTCTAAGGATGTTTTTTGTAATGTTATGAGAATGTATACCAAATATTATTAAAGTGATAAGAACATTCCATAAACATTACTTTAAAAATGTTTTGTCCTAACCTTTATATGACTTTTTAAAAATGTTAGTGAACGTTTTCTGTCAAGCTCAAAAAATTAAGCGAATGATGAGTGTAGTTCAGTGCTAACAACACCAGGTTCATGGGTTTGATTCCCATGAAAAGCATGAACTAAAGCAATAAACCCCAAGAAGCTGTGGTTTACAGTGAATTTATAACAGCTAAGGGGTGTTGTAAATTCACTGTAAACCACGGCTTCATGGGGCTTATTGCTTTTATAAAACGGTTATTCCATATACATCGTAAGGTTTCACAAAATAAAAACAATGTAAACAATGTAGTTCCTCAGAAACGGTTGTGGTTCCAACAAAGTGGTTGCCGTAGAGTTTGTAGAGGAATTTACAACCGCTTCGAACTTGGCTCAACCAATCAGAATCAAGCACCGGAACTATCCGTTTTATAATGATAAATTTGTCAATTTAATGCAGTGTGACTTACCTTGGATTAAAAGCACCTGCTAAATGCATAAATGTAAATAAAATAATTCATAAAACTAGTATGCTATATTCAAAGTCTTGTACAAAAAAAGTTGTCTGTTAACTGATGTAACCAGATCATTGAGTAAAATTCAAATACTGGGATCAAACGGAATCATTCAGACTGGTTCTGTAAACTGGATCAACCAATCCATAGACAAGATTCAGTTCAAGCAAATGATTCATTTGTAAATCAGATTCCAAAATCTCTACTTTTCTCATGAACACAGTCTATTCCTCACACAAAGCTATCATATTCCTTTAGAAGGACTACTTTGTAAAAGCATTATTATATTGGAAAGAATGGCCAAGATAAAAGAAATAGTCTGTAAATTGACACAGTTTTTCTATTTGTGTGAAATTGTTTTCTTTTTGGCACTTCTAATGCAAATTTTCAAAGCCAACATTTAGCCAGTTAAGTTTTATTCCCTCTATGATTTTCAGGGTTCCTTCTGCAACCAATTCTTGGGGCATGGAGTGACCGATGCACGTCTCGCTTTGGCCGCAGGAGACCTTTTATTTTTGCCCTGGCGATAGGTAAGCAGTTCTGAATTTAGTTACTGTTCAATCAAGCAGCTGTTTCTCTCTTTGCTGTTTAATATGTGACATCGAAACTACAGTTTCTGGTTTTAAGATGAGATTATTATTATTTTTCTAATTGATTATAATACTAATTTAAATGCCGCTCTTTCTTTTGGTGTGATTGTAGGGGCTCTGCTGGGTCTAACACTGGTGCTGAATGGACGGGACATTGGATCGGCTCTGGCGGACACCACCCTCGATCACAAGTGGGGCATCGTGCTGACGGTGTGCGGCGTGGTTCTGATGGACTTCAGTGCCGACTCAGCCGACAACCCCAGTCATGCGTACATGATGGATGTGTGTAGCCCAGAGGACCAAGACCGAGGCCTGAATATACACGCTCTTCTGGCAGGTCAGAGAAAAACTTTAATATTAATTATGGTTAGCTATTAATTTAAAGCATTTTTGTTTTTGAGCTAACTGCTTGAGCCGTGGTTCTCATATAAGGACTTTATTTTTCTCATAATTCTCAAAGTCCAATATATGTGTAATCACATCAGGGTTATTTTAGTAATATTTATATACCAGTATAATATTTATTAATATTTTTATATTTTCAATTTTCATTTTAGTTGAAGTCTTAGTAATATTATGTTATTATGTGCTTGTGTCATCTTTAAAGTAATTTATTTCAGTTAGGTGCTAAGACAACATTTTTAATTCTTGTTTGGTTTTTAGTTGTAGTTTTTTTTGGCTAATTTGACTATATTCATTTAGCCATGAAATTATACTACTCCCAGATCCATTCAACACATTTTACAATATTTAAAAAAAAATCCCCTCAGTGCAGTGGTGTAATGTAACGAAGTAATTATACTTCGTTATAGTACTTAAGTATTTTTTGGGAGTATCTGTACTTTACTTGAGTTTTTATATTTCAGCCAACTTTTACTTTTACTCCACTACATTTCAGAATTAAAATGTATACTTTTACTCCGATACATTTCCCCGAAGCATATTCGTTACTTCCTACAAAAATAGTCAAGAGTCAGAAGAACATGGTCTGCAGGAATGCAGGTTTGACAAATCAGTGGTCTTGCGTTTGCAAGTTAGACTCCTGCTCATGTGCATACAAGTGCGCGCACAACCACGGATGATTCATTTTCCACTCAAGTCGAGTCTGGGGTGTGTGATATACAGTATATCTTCTGCGATTAATATGGTAAGTGTTGTTGTAATGATGTGTGATCTGACATTATCAAGTAGGCTATATTACCAAATCGCACACAGAGTGCACGCATGTTGATTTATTAGTCTATTAAAACTCAAAATTCCAGGCATTCTAAATTGTAGATTGTAAATTGTTTTGCATTCTAAAAATGCTTCTGTATGTTTTTTATATTTATATAATTTTATATAGTTAACTTAATCTATATCACACAAAGAGTACCGTTTTTCTGCAGATAGCATGATAACACATTTAATAATCATTTTATACAAGTTCAGTAAAGCAATAAGTGACTTACATTTTAGAGGTAATATTGCTTGTTTTTGCTCAATTTTGCTAACGAAAATAGTTCCAAACAAAGATCACAGCACTTTTTGGCATCTCTGAGTAATGGACGGTGTTTGCTTATTGAATGAATCAGCTTTTTGAACGAATCGGTTGAATAAATGATTCAGTGATTCTCTCATTAACAGTCAAATGCTTGGTTTCTGAATTAATCAGTAGTTTGAATGAACGACTCACTCATTAACAGTCACTTGCTGTCACCTACTGGCGGTTTTTATTTCACATTTCGACTATTTTTTCACGTTTTAAATTATTTTCAACGTTTTATGTAAAAAAACAAAACATTAGGCCTATTTATTCATCTGTAACTGCAGTTTAAATGCATCCATGTCCCCTCTGAGATGCATTAACTGTGTAAATACATATAAATGCTATGTCAGATGCAGATTCCAGAAATGTTTTCTTATGTTGGAATGAAATACACTAAGTACCGGATGAAGTGCTTCTTATTCTTACCCAAAAATACAAACTGAAAGAAAGAGTTAAAACTGAACACAATCTTGCTACTCAACTGTGTATGAACATTTTTTTATACAGTATATATTTATTTGCTTCTTTTCCATTTTGCATTTACTTGTACTTTTACTTTCAATACTTAAGTATGTTTAAGATTTAAAAAATACTTTTCGTACTTAAGTACAATAAATATCAGACTTTACTCAAGTAATATTCTAAACGGTGACTTCAACTTCTACCAAAGTCATTTTCTGGTAAGATATCTGTACTTTTACTTGAGTATGGCTTTCAGGTACTTTATACACCACTGCTTATTTTATCATTATTTATATACTTTTATAGTATTTAATAATATTAATAATATCATTTACAGTATATAATTAGAATTTGCTTTTATTTTTATTTTTATATTTTCAGTTTTCATTTTAATTTTAGTTTCAGTTTAAGCAATTTTGTTAATTTGCTTTTGTCATTTTTATTAAATTAGTTTTTTCTGTATTTATTCTTTTTATTCCAGTTTTGGTTGTAGTAGTAATTTTAGCACTTCACCTACTAGTTTATTTTATTTAAGATTTATTTCAATCACCAACAATACATAAATTAATAATAAATAAAATAATTATAATTATTTAATAATCAATAAAGATGTAAAAGTTTTACTTACAAACAGCAACCCTCAATCACATTACTGTTGCAACTTTGATTTAACTCAGGTCTTGGCGGCGGCTTCGGCTACATTGTGGGTGGAATTAACTGGGATAAAACTGAGTTCGGAAGGTCAATGGGTGGCCAGCTCCGGGTCATATACCTGTTCACCAGCATCACCCTCGCCGCCACCACGGCCATGACCCTCACCAGTATCCCTGAGCGACCTCTACCCCAGCCTCAGCCTCAAACCAGAAGCGCCCGAAACCTCAAGAGCCCCAATCTTCCTCTGCCGCCCTCCCCACCTCCTCCTCCCGGAGCCGCTATGGACCAGGATGATGAGGACGAGGAGGAAGCCCTCTATAACAGGCAGTTCTCCAATTGCCACTACCAGGATCAACTGGGCCGCTCAAGCAGCGCCAACGCACGTCTCTACGCAGGCCTCGCCAGCCCCATTTCCCCTCTGAGTCCTCTGACGCCCAAATACGGCAGCTTCATCAGTCGGGATAACTTGCTCACAGGCATTAATGAGTTTGCTTCTTCCTTAGGCACCTCCTATATAGACAGAGTATTGATTGAATGCTACACTGGACAGCAGACTCCATTAGAACCCGAGTCAGTGGCTCCGCCTCTTCCACCGGGGGACACGCCCCCTCCTCCTCAAAGCGAAGCGCCTACCGCAAATGAAGTTGCACAGCAAAACAAACTCTCGCAGCCTAATGGAGAGTTGTTGGCGACTGAGGAGTTGCAAGCTAATGAGCAAAAGCAAGCCATTGAACCCACTGACCAGCCTAATGAGGGCCAACAGGCTGCATCGGGATCACAGCGAGGCAGTACCTCAGGGATACTGAAGCGCCCCCAGAGTCTGGCCTTAATGGAGGACCCGCTAATTGCTCCAAGCGGCGGTTTGGACAACGGTCGTAGGCGCACTGTCACCTTCAGTCAACAGGTCAGTGTGTACTGTAGTTAATGTACATACATATATTTTTACCTAATTTAAATTGCCTGTATGAGTATCTAAACCACGTATTATTTGCATACACAAGTCAAGGGTGCAGAATTTATTAGGGACGCTAGGTACCCTATGTCCCTACCAATATCCAGCGACTACTAAATTGTCCCTAGCAATTATTTTGATCAAACAATTTGTATATATATATATATATATATATATTATAATATATGTAGCCATTGTTGTTGCAATTTCGGGCGCATCTGTAATAGGTCATACCATTGATATTACCTGAGAATTTAAAGAAATACGCTTCAAAATGAAAATTCTGTCATTAATAACTTACCCTCATGTCAAACCTGAAAGACCTTCGTTCATCTTCGAAACACAAATTAAGATATTTTTGATGAAATCCGAGAGCTTTCTAAGTTTTATGGCCCTGAAACATAGTAAGGACATTGTTAAAATAGGCCATGTGACATCAGGGGTTCAACCGTAATTCTATGAAGCTACGAGAATACTTTTTGTGCGCAAAAGAAAACACAAATAACAACTTTATTAAACAATTCTTCTCTTCCTAATCAGCGTCCGCCGCCATTCACAAGAGTACCACCCAAATCCATTTAACAAATTTTACAATAATGTTCCTTAATTTCCTTATTTTAGTATTATTTATAGGCTATATTATTATAGTATTTATTATTTTGAATGAGCTATTATTGTCACATTTGCAGTTTCCATTTTAATTGTAGTTTCAGTTTAAGTATTTTTTTTGTAATGTGCTTTTGTAATTTGTATTAGATTTTAGTTTTTTATATTTTTGTATAGTTTTATTTTTATTTGATTTTATTTGTCGTAATTTTAGTACTTACACTTTATTTCACTTTTTGTAATTTTCTTTTCTTTTTTTAAATTTTAAGTGTGTATTCATGCTTTTTATGTATACTTGGCTTGCCATTGAACTTTAGCATGTTTTTGCTCTTTTCCCAAGGTGGCAAATATATTGCTGAATGGCATGCATTATGACAGTGACCTCAGCAGCACCCATGAAGCAGCAGACTCTCAAATGTCAATAAAACTGCTCTGTACTGCCATCTACAGGATGCCTCCATGTTTACGAAGCCTGTGCACCAACCATTTTCTGGGTAATAAAGGTTTTGAATTTCATTAGGCATATACAAAATAATAATTTTTGTTTTAATAATGAGCACATTTCACATGGTTGCATTAGCCATCACCAAGCTCAAACATCATTTGCAGTTTTTGTTTCTGAATTTACGGTTGTTATTGTTCATTAAAACTAAAACTTATTTCAATCATTTTCAAAATAAATTCAAGTTAATTGAAAGAATGCTGAAGTAAAACAAAATGTAAATATACAGTAGATAAAATAAAATAAAAAAAATAATAAAAAAAACTAATTTAGCAATGATTCCTTGGCAACTAACTGAAATAAAATTGATGGAAGTTGAAGTACTAAAATTACTAAAACTGAAATAAAAAGAAATATTATTTTAAAAGTACCATATAATTACTAAAAATTTATTTAAAATGAAAAAAAAATTAAATAAATAAAAGCTAAATGAAAATATTAATAAATACTATAATAATATATTAAAAAAAAAACAACTAAAATGACACTGATTTGAGGGAACAGATCTGAATATGTGTTAAATTGATCTGTGAGTGCTTTTATAGGTAACTAAAAACATAGTAAAACTAGCCAAAAAAGTTAATTAACAAAAACTCCACGGCCACAGGATGTGCACAACTTTGCAAATGAAGAGCATGTGGTTCAGCTAATATACAATGGTTTTCAAAAGTGTTTAAGTCTAAATCATTCATCTCCCATCACAGGTTGGTTATCATTTGAGGGGATGCTGCTCTTCTACACTGACTTTATGGGGGAGGTTGTGTTTGGTGGAGACCCAAAGGCCCACCACGATTCAGAGGAGTACAAGCGCTACAATTCAGGCGTCAGCATGGGCTGCTGGGGGATGTGCATCTATGCATTTAGTGCTGCTTTTTATTCAGGTTGGTAAAAGCGTGACCGTACAATTTGAGCATGCACAAAGATTCTATGTAGTAACATTACTTTCTTTTGTCTTTTCCTCTTGCAGCCATTCTTGAGAAGCTGGAGGAGCGGTTCTCATTGCGTTCTCTGTATTTTTTCGCCTATCTGGCCTTTGGTTTGGGCACAGGGCTGGCCACTCTCTCCACCAACCTGTACGTGGTGCTGTCTCTCTGCGTCACCTACGGCATTCTCTTCTCTTCTCTCTGCACGCTGCCTTACTCTCTGCTCTGTGAATACTACCAGAGCCCGCAGGTGAGAACATCTGTAGAACAGAAAGAGAATATAGTTAGATGTAAAAATAAATAAAATTGTGTTTATGGGACTGTACATATAATGGAAGTCTATGGGGCACAGTATCAGTATAAACATTAAAATACTCTCTATTTCATAAGAATATCATCAAGATGAAATATTATTTTTGTGAACCCAGCTAACAGAGACCATTCTCTGAAAAAAGTTATATGGTTTTTAATAATGCTTTCAAAAACATTATAACATATAAAACAATATTTAACTGTATAAAACATATTTAAACATTATTAATGGAACATTCAACTAACACTTTTTAAATGTAACAACTTGTTTCAAAAGTAATGTTCAAATTGATGAAATGGAATGTTTCATTAATGTTCGCATGACCAAAAAAAAGTTATTAAAACATTTTTAAAAATGGAAGTTTTGAATGTTCAGAGAACATTTTAGAAATAACATTTTCATAACTTAATGGGAACATTAGCTAAATGTTCTTGGAACATATTTTTGTTAGCTGGGAACATGAGAACAGTAACAAAATTGCTTACTAACCCTGTATGTGCAAAATTATATCGATTATTTAAAGTCATGACTATAGTGAACATAGCAACTTTTACACAATACACATAAATAGGGATATAATAGAGAAACTAGGTATATAAAATAAATATTTGCAATATTGTTGTTGGCAACACTTTCCACATTTCTGCTCTTAAACCTTCTGTAATATTTAGCCTCATAGACTTCCACTGTAAATACAATAAAAAGCATGCATTTCTTTTTCAGTTTTCATGAACTGAGGGACCTAAAATTATTTCAGTGGTTTTCAGCTGCATGTTGATTGAGTTCTACATATTTTTATCTTTTTGACTTTTTAAAACTAATTCTATTAAAATATAAATAAATATAAATCATATAATAATATTAGATGAAACATTTAAAATGTTGCCTTAGTAACTAACTGAAATATTTTGAAAGTGAAGTAGTAAATTGACTAAAACTAAAATAAAAATAAAGCTAAAAAAAACTAATAAAAAATGTCAAAAACACATAACAAAATTACTAAAACTAAAAATTAAAACGAAAACTAGGTCCTTAGTCATTGACTTCATTTTTGATTGATCTCAATTAGGGTAAAATATGTATTTATTTTTCACAGACATGTCCTGACCGAGATTTCTAAATTGCCTAAAAAAAATTGATTGACGTGCTTTCATTATATGTATGTGTATTTGCATTGCTTTATACGTTCTCTGTAAATCCCACCTGCTCACACGCAACGATTGGTCGATTATGTACGATGCCCGCACGCTATTGGTCAAACAACGTTTCAGTCATTACATTCAGCAAGTTTGACAACAATAGGAAAACAAAGCTAAAACCCAGACATTTTAGGCAATTTAGAAGACATGTCTGGGAAAAAGAGGACGTATGGTCACCCTACCTCAATCATGCATGTCCACATGTTGTTCCTGCAGTTCTGCGGCTCATCAGAGGATGGGACCAGGCGTGGTATGGGGGTGGACATCTCCCTGCTCAGCTGCCAGTACTTCCTGGCACAGATCTTGGTTTCCGTGGCGATGGGCCCTCTGACATCGCTGGTGGGTGGGGCCCAGGGCGTGATGTACTTTTCGAGTCTGATGTCATTTGTGGGGTGCCTGTACTCCTCACTGTGTGTGGTGTACCATCTGCCACCACCCGAGGGTGAGCCTCCCCAGAGTGAGACGCAGCCACTGCTGCTGCACATTTAGACCTGATCTCTCACACACCGGGTCCAAAATTAACAACCCAGAAGCAGCAGACAGCTGTTTGGTAATTTCCGTGAATTGCAACATCAATTAAATCACAATGTAAAAACGATAGTCTAAAGCTCATTGATATCCGGGAATCAAAGCAAAGAAATTCAAACAGTCCAGTAAATAAAAGTTCAATGACTGTCGTGCATCTTAAAGGGGTCATATGATGCGATTTCAATTTTTTCCTTTCTCTTTGGAGTGTTACAAGCTCTTGGTGCATAAAGAAGATCTGTAAAGTTGCAAAGACTAAAGTCTCAAATCCAAAGAGATATTCTTTATAAAAGTTAAGAGTCAGCCACGCCTACCTAAAACGGCTCGTTCTAACACGCCCCCACATGTCTACGTCACTATCTGGGAAGATTTGCATAATGCCGCCCAAATGTTCACGCAAAGAAAGAAGGCGTAACTTTGATTCTCGCTGTAGTATTGTTGCTGCCGCCGCCGCCATGTCCTGAAGACGCTGTGTGTTTCTTTGTGAAAGCGAAACTACTTTGTTTGGTCTTCCAAAAGAGGACGATATCTGCTTCGTCATGCCTAGAGCTGATCCGTGCTGGTCGCTGAGGAAATACTTCAACTTCGCGCTGTGGATCACCGGATCGGCTTTCACCGTGGACGAAGCGGAGTCCAGCCCGGGGTCGTCACATGTGGTTACCGCAAGCCCGCCGGCTCTTTTGGAAGGACACGACTAGAAATCAGTGGTTAAGTTGTATTTACAACACTGTTCCAGAACAGTTCAACCCAAATATTCAGATGTGTGCAGCACATTTTATGGAGGACTGTTTACTGATACTGGGAGAGTAGACTACAATGCCGGCTGTTCTGACTCACAGACTGTAAGTACATTTTCATATTTAGAGTAGCAGTGTAGAGTAGGGCTTGTTGTTTGTAATTTCTCCGATCACAAATGCAGACATGGTTTTATGTTTACGCGGCGCGATGCGATGCAACGCAACGCAACACGTAAAAAGACAGTATAAGTCATTATAATCAGTAATTATGTCCCCACTGGATGCAACAAATGCCTCGTTTGTAATGGGTTTGAATGTTTTTGTCTCGTCGCTCCGGCCGGACAGGGCATCACAGTATGGTAAGGAGTGTAACATTTCCGTCACATGCTTGAGGTATTCGGCCAATCACAACGCACTGGATAGCTGGCCAATCACAGCACACCTCGCTTTTCAGACCGATGAGCTTTGTAAAAATCGACGTGTTTCAGAAAGGCGGGGCATAGAGGAGAAACAATAATGTACAGTATGTGGAAAATAATGTTTTTTTAACCTTAAACCGCATAAACACATTTCATTACACCAAATACACAAAATAATGTTCTTTTTAGCAACATCATATGATCCCTTTAAAACAACTTTTTCTCTAGTGGAAAACTTCATCGGATGTTTATAGGAAACCATTTTTTTTTTATTGATCAGAACTTCAGTGCACTATGTCCAGACAAATTTCACCAAAACAAAATTTTGAAGAGCAGAATCATGATGTTTTAGTAACAGATTTTGTATGACACAAATACTCTAGTGGAAAACTTCATCGGATGTTTATAGGAAACCATTTTTTTTTTTATTGATCAGAACTTCAGTGCACTATGTCCAGACAAATTTCACCAAAACAAAATTTTGAAGAGCAGAATCATGATGTTTTAGTAACAGATTTTGTATGACACAAATATAGAAAGGTTAAACAGTTAAATAATTCATTTTTCAAAAGTACAAAAAATATACATACTGTACACTGGGGCCCATTAGTCTGAGACCAAACTGAAATCAAAGTTTTTTCATGGAAAGCAAAGAAACAGAAAGATTTCTTATTCATTTCTTATTAAATTTAGCACATGAAGGATAATACATTTTCGATTATTGTATGAAATATTTTTATTTCATATGATATAATATTACATATATAACACAAATACATACAAAACTTAATTTTTATGAGAAGAAATCTGATTTTTTTTTATGTAAAAATGAACAAAATTATATCCTATAATTTAGTTCATATATATATAAACTATAATATTACAAATAAATGAAAAATAAATACGTATAAAAAAATACACATTATTTTATTACAGTAAATTGTCAGCTTCAATTGCAGCATTGGTTTGCAGACAAACCAAATACTGAGTTTACCAAGTAAATATTTTTATTTTTTTTAAATCTCACTCCGATTATGCAAATAATGTAATTATTTTTGTTGTTTTAAATTTTGTTGTTTCAAACTAATAGCGACTTCTGGACCCTAGTGTACACTAAATTTACCAGCTGACATGGTAAAAGTTAATTTTGGACCCCGTACACACTCAACCAAACAGCTCAGACTCCTTGCGCTTGCTTCAGATACACCTTCCTCACTTTACGCCACACGTACGCAGTACTGGAGATGTGAGAGAGGGTAAAAGAGCTGCGATTTTGACTATGCATCTCACTCAGATTTCTAAACATAAGCATGCTGCAACAGTGACTGCATGACGGCAAGCTTGTGTAGAGTGTGTGTGTGTGTTTGTGAGAGAGAGAGCGTGTTTGAGTACATGTGATGCCTGACTACTTTCATCTGGCTTGTACATAATGTGAAATGTTTTTTTTTTTACTGTCGATTCCTCGTGAAGGAGGAAGCCAAAACTGTTGATAGCACGCCCGAACTCTCTTTTTTGTGGTTCATTGCTTTTAATAAAAGTAAACCCCTCTCACATATCCAAAGCAAATGTATCCTGTGAACATGTCAATGAACTGTTTGAAGACCTGTCGGTTTGGTTGCATGTAAAGCCGCACTGATGCCTTACTGTAGGCCTCTGTTTCGAACTGTACCTCAGTAAAACAGAGAACGTGTGTGTGTGTCTATTGGTTCTTCGGTTTGCATATAGTATATTTAAAGTGATTAGGCTTATTATTTGAATACTAGCTACCTACTAGGCTACACACATCCTTATGAGTACGAATATTCCTTTCGCATGTTTGCCATAGCCTACTGTAACATGGCTTGACACTGGTGGACGCTCCAATGACATATTTATAAGAAAAACATAAATTACATATTTATGGTTCCCCTACTGAGCCATGTCATGGAACGCACGCTCTCATGCCTGCTTCCCTGTGGTCTGGCGTGATCGTTGTAATGACAGTCATTCTTGTCATTATCAGGCAGAGCGGACGTTGAGGCTGGGGTGTGAGTGATCGCAATACGGAAACAAGCCTCGTGCGGAAGAACAAGCCGAATGTATTGTTCGGTGACTACAACAAATCTGGACAACCGATATGGACTCTCCACCAGAGCGCTCACAATTGTGCGCCCGTATTGCTAAGCATCTTTTTTGTTGTTGTTGTTGTTTTGTTTGTTTCGCTTTGCAATACATGCAGCACATCAAACCTTTAAAAACTCCAGGTAGCAAGCAATTTCAGAAGCAGCGAATAAAGAACTGAATGAGACGAAACTCATAATCACATTCTTTTCCTCAGTCATGTGTTATCTACACAAACATGTACAGATCTTCCACTAAGGAAAGCGATGTTAGTAAGTTGCATTGTACAGGTAAATGCTCTGAGAATTAAACAGTTGTCACAGGACGAAGGTTTTCTGCTGCAGGTGTCGTTCTGATATAAGTATGTACAAAGACTGGTGAAGGGGCTTTAACCAGCGGGGGGCGCAGTAGGATCTCAAATGGAGGTCAAACTGAATCTATTGAAGGAATAGTTCACCCAGAAATGAAGCTTTGCTGAAATGGACAAGATGTAAACGAGTTTGTTTCTTCATAGGAATAGATTTGGAGAAATGTACTGTTACTCAGCAATGGATGCTTTGCAGTGAATGGGTGCCGTCAGAATGAGAGTCCAAACAGCTGATAAAAACATCACAGTAATCCACAATACAAACCACTCCAGACCATCAGTTAACATCTTGTGAAAAGTTGAGTGCTTGTAAGAAACAAATCCATGATAAAGGTGTTCTAACTATAAAGCACTGGCCATAATATGAGTGTATAATCCAAATAATACTAACTCCAATGAAAAAGTCCATCCCCTGTTGTCTTCTCGCACTCAAATGCAGTGACATATTCGTTTAGAACTGTTTTTGCATGTAAACGGTGCTCGATCTGTGCATATTTCTCTCCTGATTCAGACGAGACGACTTTTTTCACTAGAGAAAAAAATATGGATTGAGGACTTGTATTTTAGTTGGAAGCAATGGTTTGAAGTTAAAAAAACAAGTCTTGATGGATTTGTTTCTTATAAACATTCAGCTTTTTGCTTCACAAGACGTTAATTGATGGACTGGAGTCATGTAGAATGTGATGTTTTTATCAGCTGTTTGGACTCTCATTCTGACGGCACCCATTCGCTGCAGAGGATCCATTGGTGAGCAAGTGATGCAATGCTACATTTCTCCAAATCTGTTCCAACGAAGAAACAAACTCATCTACATTTTGGATTGCCTGAGGGGCAAGTACAATGTTTAGCAAATTTCTATTTTTGGGTGAAATAATCCTTTAACCTTTGTGCAAGGCACTACTTTTAGTTTTTACCTAAATTTGAGCATGTTAAGGTCAGTCCTCTTTCACATATTTGTTGCATGTCCAATCTTGTTTCAAACAGCTTTAAAAAAAGTTTTGCAACCCCCCAACGCAACGTTAAAAAAGACCCAAGAGGCACTGGCTTTTATAAAGACAAGACTGTTTTTTTTTTTATTTATAATCCTGAACCAAACTATACAAAGCAGTGGTCAAAAAGCAACCAAAAAAAAA